CCTTTTGGAATTTTCAGCGTCCTCACGGCGACTGAGCACGAAGTTACCAGTTCAGGAGAAGCTTCCAAACCGACATGTTGCTGTCGACAGTAATTTTGTTCCACGCAGAGCGAGCAATCTCATGGGTCTGTCTGTGCTGTGTTTTGATAGCGCGCAATAGAAGAAGGCTGTGAGGATTAGGTGATAATCGGCAAGAGAGTGAAGCTTTATACTGCTCAAGGCCCACCTCAACACATGAGTATGGTTTGTGTTATTTTCGGTCCAGTCGCGCACCGCACATCGAGAGCTTCATGTCCATTTTGTTTAGCTCAGTTGATAAGTGTCTCTCATCGACATGTTCCTGGAACTGTTTTGAAATTGTCCACAGTCTCCAGCGCAATCATAAGATAGCCATCTAGGTATTTTGGTGGCCAGAAAGCCAACAACATCAGTGCTTGAATCGCTGGTTTTGGTGTCTGACCAGTTGTGGTGGTATACAGAAAATGAATGTATCGAACACTCGATAGAATTTATGTCTACTGTGCACGAGCCCGAGAGCGCAAGACAGGTCATGCCGGTTGTTTAATGTGTTTTTGGCTTCCACATCGGCGATACATGGCAATCTCGTACCTCGTTTTGTGGACTTCGCAGGAGTGGACATAAGCAGCGATCTCATAAGTTTTTGGTTCCCAGGAAAACACATGTCCGTGGACAGACGATTTTTGTAGAAAACGTCAAGGAAGTAGAATTAGTGGAGGGTGGAGGAAGGGAGGAGATATGTGACTTTTATATGGCTAGGGGAGGCACGTGCAAGGTCGGGCTTTCGGTATGAGTTCCCGCGAGAGCATAGTTCGCACATGAGATGAAGCCTCCTTGTGGGGATGGCTGCATGCGCTCCCACTTCGGTGAGTATGTCGATATCCAGCGTGGAGTTCTCATATCTTCACTTTGAATTGGATGTAGTTACGCACCAAGCTCACCATTGATGTCAATAATTCTCATTGCGCGCTCTAACGCTTCTACACCACCATTCTATCCAACGCTCTATACTCAAACAACAGTACTATACCCCCCACCATACCCTCTCCGTCCCCTCCACCTAACATACCACTTCCTCCCCTCATCCGCCCAAAACACACAACTCGCGACCGCAACAAGATGCGCGAGATCGCCCAAACCCAGGGCCTCGGTCTGGAAAACGCTTTGCAGCGGCGGGAAGTAAATAACAGCCAGCTGTCCGAGCAAGCTGCCCGCGACAGCGTAATTAAACATCTTGTTGTCAAAGACACCAATCTCGCCTGCAAGAACGGATTTGCTGGAGGAGCGGCAGGTCAGCGCGTTGAACATGTCGAAGAGGACGAAGCAGGTAAAGGTCATGGTTGTGTCGCGGGCGGTGACGAGGTTGTCGGTGGACATTTCGAGGTAGTAGGTTGTCAGGGTGCCGAGCATGATGATGGTGGCGGATTGGAGGACGCGTTGGATGAGTGGGCGGGTTAGGACGCGGGCGTGGCGCGGGCGGGGAGGTAGCGCCATGACGGCTGGGTCGACGGGTTCTACACCGAGGGACTGTGCTGGTGGACCGTCCATAAGGATGTCTGGAGGTGATTGTTAGTAGATATCAATGGGAACGGGAGTAGAGAAGCTTACTGATCCACAGAATCTGCATGGCATTGAGCGGATTCTGGAAGCCGAGGAATGTGCTAAGGAGTACCAAGCTCAGTGCTGCCGCGCTGGTGCTGAGTTGGAAGGTGAGGAAGTTTTGGATGTTGTAGAAGATGCCCTTGCCCTCTTCGATCGCATTGAGGATAGTAGCAAAGTTGTCATCTGTCAGTATCATGTCTGCGGCCTCTTTAGCGACATCTGTGCCCAGTCGACCCATGGAGATACCGATATCTGCTTTCTTGAGTGCAGGCGCGTCGTTGACACCGTCGCCAGTCATTGCCACAACATCGCCTCGTGATTGTAGTGCTCGGACAATCTTCATCTTGTGCTCAGGACTAGTTCGCGCAAAGATCGAGGTTGTCGCAATAGCTTGTGCAAGCTCTTCCTCGCTCATGTGATCCAGTTCGTCACCACGAATGACGGAGCGTCCAAGTGCTGAGTTTGGCATAATTGGCATACCCAGACTCTTGCCGATGGCAACTGCGGTGGTTTCTGCATCTCCTGTGATCATGATAACCTTGACTTTGCCGGCCATGAGTCTCCGAATGGCTCTCTCTACACCCTTACGCGGCGGATCGTTCATGCCAACCAAGCCAGCGAACGCAAGACCACGGTACTGTTCATCATCTCCAAGTGCCGAGCTGGTGGATGGTGCAGGTGAGGCTGTACCACTGGCATTCCTCTTTTTCCCTTTGGATGCACCGCTTGCGAAGCCGAGCACACGTAAGCCTTCTTGCGCCATTGCATCGGCGGCCTTCATCGCTTCTTGCTTGCGTGCTTGATCCAGTGCCACCTCTTTCCCTTGTGCCGTTACATAAGTATCACAGCGGTCCAGAACCCGTTCCAGTGCGCCTTTGATGTATGCGTGTTCAGATCCAGGGGTGAGGTTGCCAGAATTACCGCCAACGACGACCCCCATCCACTTCCTCTCCGAGCTGAACGGTGTCTCGAACTTGCGTTCGCCGAGTCTTTCCCGGATGTCGTCTTCCCCAAAAGCGTCCATCAGGTCTAAGAGCGCGACATCGGTGGGTTGACCGACCCATCGGCTCTTGGCAGCTGTATTGTCGTCGCCTCCTAGAGTCGAAGAAAGTACCGCTGCCGTGGACGCCGAGGCTGCCTGGTCACTCAACAAGCGCGCATTGTTGACAATGTTGCCAATTCGTAGTATGTTACGGGTCGGCGAATCGAGGTCTGTGGAGTCGTGCTTCGTCTTTACGTCGATCGGTGCTGCTTCGTCAAAATGCCATATCTTCGTAACGGTCATATGATTCGTGGTCAACGTGCCTGGTCCAAGTTAGTAAATGTCACATGCGCGAAGAACGGTTGACTCACCCGTCTTGTCAGTACACACGACATTGACAGAAGCCAGCGTCTCAACACTAGGTAGCCGTCGAACAATGGCGTCGCGTTTGGACATTCTCAGCACACCCAGCGCAAGCGTGACAGTAACAATAATCGGCAGTCCTTCGGGGATAGCGGCAACAGCGAGTGAGACGGCGATCTGGAAGACCTCGATGAACTTCCACCCGCGCCACAGCCCTACCAGACCAATTAAGGCAATGACTCCAAAAGACATGTAACTCAGATCCTTGCCCAGACGGTCCATGGAAAGTTGTAGAGGCGTCCGCGGGCTTTCGATTTGCTGCAGAGATGCAGAAATGGCACCAAACTCCGTGTTGCCTCCTGTACCGACGACGATTCCTTGTCCGTAACCCGATCTAACCAATGTACCCATGAAAGCAATGTTCTTCTGGTCATTCAGTCGTATATCAGCGCCGACCGTTCCTGCGGCTTCGGACGCGTAGAAAGGTGAAGATGGCCGTTGCAAGCCCGGCGGGGGTGTGATGGTGTCTGGCGACTTGGAGACAGGCTCGTTCTCTCCGGTGAGGTTCGACTCGTCGATGCTGAGGTCTGCGGCGTGCGTGATGCGAATGTCGGCGGGTATGCGGTCTCCCGTGTGGAAGAGGACGAGGTCGCCAGGTACCAACAACGTCGCAGATATGGTAGTAGACTTCCGCTCCGCAGCTGACAGGGCCGAAGTGGTGTCCTTTAGATTCTCCAGCTCGACGTCGTCAGGTGCCGTGCCATTCGGTATGCGACCGTTCCGTGGTTGCTCGACCCCAGCGCGAATGATGTGTGCCGAATGCGGAACCAGCTGGTTCAGCGCCTCAATTGACTTTTCCGAGCGGTATTCCTGCACGAAGCCCACTGTCACCACGATGGTCACAGCCACTGCAATGCTCACAGCATCATCCAAGTTGCCCAGTATGAGGGATACAGCAGCGGACCCGAGCAGCAGCAAGATCAGCGTCTCCTTGAATTGCTTGAGGAAGCGCAGCCAGAGCGGTTCGGGCTCTTCGTGGGGGAGTTCGTTGAGGCCGTGGGTGTGGATGCGCGCCGAGGCGTCCGAGGCAGAGAGGCCATGTGTAATCGACGTCGAGAGCTTGTGGGCCGTGTCCTGAGCCGAGAGGAGGGAATGGGCGGATGTTATTGACTATTCACACGTGTCAGCGGCGTGTCCAAAACTCGGGAGCGCATGGCGTACTGAGGGCGTGGTGCTGCGCTTGATGGCTTCTGGCGGCTGCAGCATGGGCGAAGAGGGCCGCGAAGACTTGGAGGGCAGGCCCGCGGCATTGTAGAGGGGCAATGAGGACGTGGATGCTTTTGACATGTTGGCATGGCCAGGAGTCGACTGTTGCGCCGCCGTCCAACGTGGCCTATCCGTCCAGAGCTAGCGTCGGAAAAGATGCGCGTCGCCGTGGATTATCGCATTGGTGCTAGTAGTAATAATGCGTCTTTGATTGGCGAGCGGGACGAGACAAGGAAATGGCGAGTCGACTGCGGGTTGTCGTTGGGGATGGTGTTGCTCAATGTCGATGGTGGACCAAAACGTCAAAGCACCGGTACTCTCGAGCAGGGGTCTCCATCGAGCGTCTGGTCACCACTTTCACACCAACTACTGTTTGACTTCACAGCACTAAACCCATCTGACGACGTGTTCCGTTTTGAAACACTCAATGTAGCCTCTATTTGTAGCTTAGCGTTGTGTTGCCTACCATGTGTCGGCTTCTCGCAGCGTCGAGTGACGCCTTGGCAGGTACATGTCCGCTGCACGCTCAAGTGATGGCGCGCTTTTCCGTGGCTCTGCGTGTGATGTCATACACCAGCCTCTCTCAAACTCTACACCTGTGGCTGAAGCCTGCGCAGTTTCCTCATCTTCATCTTGTAGAACTTGGATTTACTTTGATTAAACGCTACTCGAGTAATAATACACCTTCCCTTCGAATAACCGCCGAGCAGTCCGCGAGACAACGCACCTATCGACAAAAGCAAACGATTCCGAGCTGGTTGCCAGAACATCAACCTTGATCGAACCGCTCGAATGCGAAAGACAGACTCTCCGCTGGCTCGGTAGAAGATCCGAAGAACTACCATCAGAGTCTGAGCAGGGACTCGGTGTCCGCTCAGGTGAAGACGACTGCCAGGAGGAATGTACCTTGCCGCCGGATGCAAGTCCGTGGGCGACGGTACCTTCTATGCACACTGCCGACGCCAAGCATGCCGCACCTGTGAGTTGCAGGCTCGGGTGGGGTTTGCCCATACTGAAAGCTTGGACATGAATGTCCGGCGTGCCTTCCCGGCTATGGTCATCTGGCTGAGGAGATGAGATGATGGCCAGCTTCGGTGTACCACGGACCTTTGCAGCAGCGTCTACATCAGAAGCAAGACCCATCAAAACAGCGCCAGTACATCGTATTGACTCCATATCCTTGAGGTAGACGGCGGTGTCTTTGCTCCCTCTCCTTAGATTTGGCGGTAATGTTCGTTCGTCGACTAGGATGAAAGGATTCGCTGCGTCTATCAACGTCGCCTTGACCGAGAAGCGATTGCCGTCTTGTCCTTTCACATGAATAGTATCACATCGTCTCCCCGTAGGAAAGAGAGTTCCGGTCATGCTCCCGGCAGGATCCACAAAGGCCACTTTTACTTCGCTTCCGGTTCCCTTGACGCCTGGTATCGCGTAGTCTCCGTCTTCATCGAACGATCCGTCCTCGTTTACTTGAACGGTATCGACGATGAGCCGCGAAGTGTTCGTATTGAAGATCCGTACATCGAGCTGAAGAAGAATGAGTATCCCATCCGTCTCAATTACAACAGGAGGACTTACCGTCTTCTCTCCGGGGCTTGCACGCACTAGTCCCTCTTGTAGCGCAAATGGTCCAACACCAGCGCACATGTTTCCACAGTTCCCGCTGAAATCGACCGCCTCCTGACCCACTGCTACTTGTACAAAAGTGTAATCGATATCAACGCCCATTCGTGATGATGGCGAAACAACTGCAACCTTGGAAGTCGTTGAAGTCGCCCCTCCTACGCCGTCAATCTGTCGAGCGTCTGAGCCTTGAGAGCCCATGGCGGCAAGTAATGGGCCGGCCCACGCTGATTGGGAAGATGGCAAGTCGTGACGATGGATGAAGAGACCTTTTGAAGTACCAGCACGCATCAAAACGGCTGGTAGGCTGTGTCGCACTCTTTTCGGGGCGCTTTCGTGTGCCATTGGGAGTTCAGGTATGCGGATCGGTGAGATGTGTGAGACAGTCGAGGCGTGTGCCTTTTGGAGAGTAGATGGTTTGAGAAGTGTGCGGAGCATCTATAGAGGATGATGCTGCGGTTCAAGGTGATGAAGTTGATGAAGTTGGTGCTTCGTTTCTAGCTTGAAATGTGTCATCATATCCGGCGGTGCAGTTCTCTATATATGTCTTCATTCCAAAAAATGTTCGGGTAGAAACGACCAGGAGTACGGGCCGCAGTGTATTCGACGGGTAGGCATGAAACTCTACCCGTTAGCGCGTTAGATGCCGTGGGATCTTACATGGGCTGCGAAAAGCCTAGCCGCGGTAAAACCTCGGCTTTCTTCCCGCGGGACTTGATGCCCCACAGGATCCAACGCAATGACAGGAAGAGCATCTTCTTGTGCGCGCTCGTCTCGTGATGATCCGATAACAATGACAATGACTTTGGATGGTACTTTTGGTGACAGGAAGAGCCTCATGTCGCCATACCCATCTCTTACATGTCCCAATTCATGGCTGGGAATTGATCAAGCTCTGATCCGTTGAAACCGTAAAGGAGATCATCCACCGAAAATGGTTGCTCACTGAAGGGTTGTTGTTGGTCCTGATACGCCCAGTTACCAGAGTTTCCGTAGGGCATGTTTGCCGTCTCCATGGTATTGTACGCCGACGGCGGCACTCCAGGTACAGCAATGTCGGAGGTTGGGTCCATTGAACCCGGCTGCGCTGCATGCGACGAGTCCTGCTCTCGAACAAAACTCTGGATGATGCCATCGATGTCGAAACTTTGCAAGCTTGGTTCGCGATCCATCGATCTGCTCAACGAAACATCTGGTGTGCTCTCGTGATTATCCTCGCCACCACTGCCGATATGTGTGTCGTTCAGGTCAGGCGCAACAACACTCAGTCTCTTCATCAGGCTCTGGATAATGGCATTGGCGCGTCGTACAGCCCAATTCGTCTCTTGGTTCTCGCGGAAAACGGCTAAGCAAGTCTCTAGGCTCTTGTGGGCTTGGGAGCCCGCGCCACGCTTCGCCGCAATACGGGCATGCACAGTGGCAGCAACATAAGTCGCATAAGAAATCAGATAGGGAGCTCTCCGCACACTGAACATTTTGTCGTATGCTCTCAAAAGCTGTACGATAGCATCCGCCGCAGTGGCGCACGCCATAAACGAGTTCACGGAGATGGCGCGTGATGTATTATAGAGATGCCCATCTGCGACGAAGGGTCGGTGCAAGAGAATCGTGAGAACATGGTACAAGGCGCTAGTGTTGTTTTAGTACATCCGTGGCGTGTGCAGCGTTATAATCACTTACTGTAAGCTTAGGACATGCGGAGGAGGTGTCGCCGCTACTTCCGCTACATCTACCGTGAGGTGTTCGGGCAGAAGCCCACGCCATGTTAACAGCTTTTGATGTATGCTCTCCAACTTGGTGGACAGCTCTGTAGGGCTTACGTCGAAGCTTCTTTCGGTATAGATGGTGCTGAGTATGTCGCTCAGAATAACCGAGAGCTGGCAAAGGTGTCGAAACGTGGAGATACTGTAAGCCGGCGAACCTAGATAGACGGCGTCTGGTTGCGTGGAATAGGAAAAGGGCGTCCAATGCTCAAGTTCTTCGTAGGTGTCGAGAAATTTGGTGGGTACGAGTGTCTCTGTCATGCTCACTGGGCGACCTTGATAGAGGCTTTGGATCTTGTCGACGACTGCGCTTTTGGTTAGTGTGATAGTTGAGCATCATGAATACTGTACCTACCAAATGCTGCCCAGAAAACGCGACGTCGGATCTCATGATCCTCATCAGAAAGCTTACGATACCCTGCAAATTCAGGCTTATCAACGTGAAGACCAAGGTCAACGATCATGCGAAACGCCAACCCAGCGTACAGCCAGGCAGCACTGCGCTCATCGCCAAGAGCAAACAACGAGTTGGTCATAACTAGCAACGCTTGAATTGTTGTGATTTCGCTCTTGTCCAAAGCGCCTCCCAGAAGTTCTCTCACTCTTTCACGAAATTGCCAACCAGCAGTGCGGACATCGTCTGCTACACGGCGAACTTCGTGCCGTGGGCTGAACTTACTTGCGCCGAAGTAGATGGCATTCAAGAGAAGTTTGGAGAAGTACGGACCGCCGCATGCCATGTCACGCATGAAGGCTGGGCGATAGGTAGTAAGGAAAGAATGGTGTTGCCGGTTCCAGTGTAATGATAACAAGTGCATGCCAAGTTCAGGTTCGACGCCGTCGAAATCGAGTTTCATAAGTCGAAAGTTGACCGTCTCTAGTTGTCTCTGACGGGCAGCTTCAGCAACAAGACCTTTCTCTATCCATTCATCCGACATCTGGGGTCGTACTTCCGCAGCATATCGATCATTTGTGCCTTCGTCAAATAAAGTGCTTGTGCGTCCATGGTAACTAGAGGAGCCATTGGGAGCGACAACAATGCGCGACACGCTTTGAGGTGTAGTTGCAGGGGTCTGTCCAACAGGCGCAGAAGCAGCGATCGATGGTGTTGACTCTGATGTCCTGTCTGATGCTCTTTCGGATGTTCTTTCTGCTCGCGGCGTCTTGCGCGGACGACTGGTAGCATGTTGTACGTCATCTATGGATATAGGCTCGTAATGACAAGTTGTATCATGCGTTTTGCAACTTGCGCAGATTGGCTGTTCAGCACTGCATTTGATCTGCCAGCCTCAGTATGCAGTTCCTCGACGATGATATGCAGGCGCCCAGTAACGAACCTTCCTCCGCCGACAGAACGTACACGCCTCGGCAGCCCTTTTGCGCGTGCGGCCTGTCGCCCCTGCATTCGTAGGCATCGCAGTGTGCGATGGCTAGCACGACGGGAATTTTGGAGGGTGATGTCGTCGCCGGAGTTCAGAGAGGCTAGTAGGTGCAAAGGGCAAGGCCGCGAAGACGCAGTTGCCGACCTCGGGATAATCTGCCGCAGCGCACCTGCCTCAAGTTGGACAGCCCACCTTTTTCCGAGCAACACACCAACACAATGCACATTTCCTCCAAGTCATTGACTTCAGTCAAATGATCAATCGTGAAGTCATGACGTTTCAAGCATCACTTGAAGAAGGATATTCCGATCCGTGAAGGTAGTACTGAATTCATTCCGTCTTCCAAAACTAGTGTAACTATCCTAATACAATCATACAAGGGACCAACTTCCCACAAACACCATACCTCACAAAAACACCAAAACACCAGTCAAAGTCCGTCTCCGACGTGAAAAGAGTCATACATGAAAAGGGTATCCAGCCAACACCGACAGATGATACCAAGCCCCAAAGAAGGTCGGAGAAACACAGATTGTTGAACTTTTAGGCAGATACAGACACCTCAGGTGGTCCCTGGAACATGGCCTCAGCGGGCGCGTCGGGATCTCCTGTAGGTGCTGCTTGAGCCTGGGATGCCAGCTCGCCACTAGCACCAGTCTCTGCCCATTGTCCCCAAAGGCCACGCTTAGCGCGAATGCGTAGAGGGCCACCAACCTCGTTAGCTGGCTGCTCAACTTTGATGGCATCCTTGGTCGCCAGTACCAGCATTTCAAAGAACATCTTCGTCGCGTCTGTTCGTGATGTGCGGGCCTCTGGGAAGGCATCTTGGAAAACGATGCTGGTCTTCTGTCGTACCGACTCGCTCTCTTCAGCTTCGGGTCCAAACTGTTCTCGCAAGAAATGGACAGCGTGCTTTGTGCCTAGCGATACGGGCCCGGCTTCGTCGGGATGGACGAGCGGCGCGGTTGTGTCGTCGAAGTTGTCTGGAACAGGCGAGAAAATGTCCTCTTCGTCATCACCAACCTGTTGGAAACCAGGGTCATCGGGAAGTTGAACGATATCGTCGGATCCCGCAAGCGTGGGGTCGTTGTCGCCACCAAGGCCAAGGTCACCGCCTCCCAAAGTCGGCTCATCCTGCTCAAATTCCAGCTGCAATTGTGGCGTCTTCTCTCCTTCGGCTGCGGCCTCGTCTTCGGTAGCGTCATTGTCGGCAATTGCACCGCCACGCTTGCGCTTCTGGGCTGGGCGTGAGACAACTTCTAGGGAAAGGATACCTCGAAGCTCTGGAGCCCATCCTTGGCTTCGTCCGTCGCCCAGTATGCTTGAGATAAACCCTCCGGACTTTTGCATGTTCATCAAAGCCATCAGAAGAGGGTCGCGAGGCAGGAATGATGCAGGCTTGAGGATCTTCTCGCGGTTGTTCTGTTGCTCCCTCAACTGGTGACTTGAGATCATAGTTTCAGCATCAGCTGCAATGACCCTCCTGCGCTTGGCGCGGGCTTGATGAATTGATTCTTCCTCTTCCTGCTCTGGCTCTGGCTCAAACACGGTGACGTTCTGTTCGGCAACCTCCTGTTCAAGACGTGTGGCCTCCTCCTCTCCCAACTCGGAGAGCGGTGACTCTTCACGTTGTCGTACAGGGAAGTCGCCGGCGATAGAGCCTGCAGGAAGTTCGGTGTCCATGTCCATACCGCCCATCGTAATATCCAGGTCATCGTCCAGATTGAGTTCATGGCCGCGTGCGAGTTCAGTGGGAGGATCTTCGCCAAGGTCGATGCCGAGATCATCGTCATCCACTATCATGTCTTTGCCTAGACCGGTAAACTCTTCGGACCGACGGCGTTCCAAAGGTGCGTTACGGCCAACTTCAATGCTGGTACCCTCGTCGTAGGCGGCTGTCGGCTCCAAGTCATCATCCTCTCCGATGTCCAAGTTCAAGTCGTCATCCGGCAATTCCATGGGCTCTCCGCGCGCCTGCTCAATGCTGCCGGAAAGGAACTGGCTGTTGTCCCAATCGGGGACTGTGGTGTTGCCGAGGTTGAGGCTGCCGCTAAGAGGCTGGGAGAGAAGGAAAGAAGGGTCGGGCATGGGAGCCAACAGATCGAGATCGGTGATCTGATCCTGTAGCATGAGGTTTGTGGGATTGGCGACGTGAGTCTGGGCGGGCGCATCGATGTTTCCGGGACGGAAGGCCTGCACAAGGGTCAGACGTGGTCATGTCACGCAGTCAGACTTGGAACCTACCATCCTGATCTTCCACAGCGCTTCCTGACAGTCATCCTGGAGGTAGTTGACCTTCTTGTTGTAGATGCGAACCTCACCGAGGAGCAACTGCGCGTTCAACCGCAATGCAAGCGGACCGCCAGCGGCCACCTCAGGTCGGATGATGACCTCGCAACTCTCTGGGATCTTGTGCTGCAGCACCTGGGCCTTGGTGAGCTTCTTCTGTTGATTCGAGGCAAGCCAAACTTGCGCAAGCGCGCCCTGCTTGAATAGGAGGTCCTCTGGAAGAAACATGGTGGTGGTTGGGTAGATCGGTTTGTGGGCGGGGTGGTGGAGGAGTCGCGCTGTTGTTTACGTCGACGCGTCGCGGCCAAGTCGATGCGCGTGGCGTGAAAGCGCGCCGACAATGTCAAAATTGGAGCCCCGAAGTGCGCGCAGATGCAGCAATGGCAGTGATGGTCAAAAATGGTTGAGCGACGATGGTGTTGCGGATGCGCTCGGTCGTGGAAGGATGAATGAGGCTGGTTAGGGCTGGCTGGGATTAGATGGCAAACACGACAGCCCTCGCTTAGTCATAGGCCTGTCGCAAGACCAAGCCCAACTTCACCTTCCACGCACGTCATCTTCCATTCCATGCTGCCCAGGTACTTTCACGATACAACAAGTTGCTACATACTTCGGTAGACGATGGACACACATATTCTGGCCTTGTACACATTAGAGGCAACAACTTTTCCTGCAACTTGGACAATTGACTCAGTCAACTGTTTCATTACGCAGACTTGACTTCATATGGAAGTCTCAGCAACTACTAGGTATCTCAGATCCGCCGACTCCACCTCAATCCTGGACTGCTCGCTTCCACATATCTCACATCGACCTTCCTCCCTCTGGCGGCAAACCCCTCCCTAAGCCACACCACCAACCGCTCAATCAACGGCGCACAGTCCACCAAAACGTTCTGCATACAGTGCCGATCACTTACCCTGATCCTAGGCCAAGCCTCGATCGTCAACGTCTGCAAACTCTCTACCTCCAGGAGATCTGCCAACTGGTAAACCGCAATGACATCTCCTAGCTCTCTGATGCGCGTTTGATCGAATGTCCATAGATCAAAAGTCCCTAGCGTTGTAGGAGGGATAACAACATCCTCGGCCCAGTTACATGAGTCAATAGTCATGTACCCAACTTCGAACTTCAATGCGACTTGCGTCAGCCCTGTACATCGCTTCATGAGCTCGATGTAAGTGTTGTTAGTCCCAGCAATTGGTTGGTAGCGGCCAAAGAGTTGGAAATCGAGTTTACGAATTGCGGCAAAGCCTTGGTCGTTCTCGCCTAGACTTTCCAGGAACATCGTGAATCGCACTACTTGCTCCGGGTAGATGAGGTAGAACTCGGTCGTCCGTAGGAGATACAGGGATACATCGACGCGCGTGGCTTGGTTCACGCGACAGAGTTGTTCGAGCCACTGGAGGTAGAAAGGGTCGCCTCCACGCCGGGTGTCTACGGGGCCGAAGTTCAAGGGCTGAGACTGAGAAGTAAGGTCCTCTGGGAGTATCGCATGACGGTAGATGATCTCGCGGAGCTCAAGTGGCAATGTTGGAAACACAATCGTGGACGGTGCAGAATTAGTTGGGTTCATTTTGTTCATTTTGCTTTGCGGACAAGGTAGGTGGATGTAGTTGAGGATTTTGTTTGTTTCACGCACAAATTTGACGTTGGCGAGAACAGAGGAAGACATGTCTCGCAGGTAGAACAAAGTGGTACATCAACACTGCTGTTTTCGTGAAGAGCACTGCTTCGTTGCATCAGCACGCAATGCAACCAAATTGAAGCAGCCACTCCTTCTATTATGCACTCAACTTGTGCCTGCACGCGCATGTCAATGAGTTTATTATCGACGGGCCATGTAAGCGTCAAGAAACTGACGA